ACGCTGGGGCCCCACCTCTCATTACAGTTCAGTTCAGTAGCTCGGTCGTGCCTGACTCTTTGTGACCCCATGGACTGCAGCACACCAGGCCTCCCTGTCCATCACCAACTCCCAGAGTTTACTCAAAATCATCTCCATTGAGTCGGTGTTGACATCCAGCCATCTCATCCTCTGTCGTCCCCTTCTCCTCCTGCCTTCAACCTTTCCCAGTGTCAGGGNTTTTCCAATGACTTAACTCTTCGCATGGGGTGGTCAAAGTATTGGAGTTTCAGCTTCAACAGAACTGATTTCCTTTAGGATGGACTGGTTGGATCGCCTTGCAGTCCAAGGGAGTCTTCTCCAACACCACAGTTCAAAATCATCAATTCTTTAGTGCTCAGCTTTCTTTATGGTCCAACTCTCACATCCATATGTGACTACTGGAAAAATCATAGCCTTAACTAGACGGACCTTTGTTGGCAAAGTAATGTCTCTGCTTTTCAATATACTGTCTAGGTTGGTCATAGCTTTCCTTCCAAGGAGTAAGCTTCCTTTAATTTCATGGCTGCAGTCACCATCTGCAGTGATTTTGGAGCCCAAAAAACATAAAGTCACTGTTCCCACTGTTTCCCCATCTATTTGCCGTGAAGTGATGGGACTGGATGCCATAATCTTAATTTTCTGAATGTTGAGTTTTAAGCCAATTTTTCACTCTCCTTTTTCACTTTCATCAAGAGGCTCTTTAGTTCTTCTTCACTTTCTGCCATAAGGGTGATGTCATCTGCATATCTGAGCTTATTGATATTTCTCCCAGCAAAGGAATGATATTGCTGGGTGAGGAAGCTCGAAAGTGTATCTGTGGCAGAAAAAATAGTTATCCAAATGCTTCCTAAAATGATAATTGAAATACGAAGAATATTAAGTGACTTGCCTAAAGTCACATTGCACTGATTTACCTGAAGTGCTATTAAAAATAATCGTAATACTATGTACTACATATTAAGCAATTATTACCAAGCTAATTAAAAACCTCTGAAGTCCTGGCCAGTACTTGCTCACTAGGGAAAAGCTAGTTAAGAATTATGATTTATTTTATAGTTACTTGTACAATGGGAACCATTTTCAATAGGGCTTAAGATAGTATGTGTTCTTTAAAAATATTACCAGGAAAAAAAATGTTACCATGAATAGAAAAATCATCATTGAAAGCATGATGATTTGTTGACTCAAATTCCAGAATTTGGTCTGGAATGATGATTTGTTGACTGAAGATGATGACAAGGACCACAAAGTAACAGAGAAACATGGCTTTGGGCCTTTGAAGATGCAAATGAGCAAATGCACGCGTGTGTGCTCAGTTGCTTCAGTCATGTCCAGCTCTTCGTGACCCCATAAACTGCAGCCCACCAGGCTCCTCTGTCCACAGAATTCTCCAGGCAAGAATACTGGAGTGGCTTGCCATTTCCTTCTCCAGAGCAAATGCATAAGAATATATTATTTTGAAAGAAACTTTAGCAACATATTTGGCCATAAAGACCACTGAATATTTAATCCATGAAGACACGATAATTTAAATTCAACTGACACTGTCAATTTTTTCCCATAACCTGATTTGAATACCAGGTGTTTCACCTGCCCCTTCCCATTTTCAGTGAGACCATTACAGTAAGAGGTGATAAGGAATGTAGCATATACATGTAGTATGCTTCTTTGACTAGTTCTGTAGTCAGCATAAATACTTTTGTCTGCTAAAGTATCTGTGACTACACCCAGGAAATCCAACAAATCTGGAAAGTGTAGGGTCTCTGGGTTGAGCTCAGGAAATGTCAGCCCATATTTAGGATACAATCAGAATGGCTCTTGATTTGGCAGGACCCTAGTTAGTTTCCCTACTCTCTCCTTAGAGGAAGTAACTCCATATTCTTGAACAACAAATCTTATGATAGCCAAGACAGAACATACATACTACTATTGTCATGTTGGCAACAATATTTACAAAACTGTGATATGCCTTCAAACAGGCACTGATCTAAGGTGAGCCAGAGATTGATGGTAGGAACACCATACAAAGGATGCCCAGTGACCTAAGACCACAGCTGAGAATGTGTACACCTGGAGCCCCAAATATCATTTGGACCACTTTAGTACTATTGAAAATGGTTACACAGTCTACTCTGACACCAGTGTGGTTTCCAGAACCAGCTAGACTGACTCTATTATTTAGGCGAGCCTGCACATCTTCCTTCCAGCAGGCAGTGAGGTCTAAGAGGCTACCTTCTGCTATCAGTGCTACATGGGTACAGTGATTTAAGCTTATCTACCAGTGTGAACATGGTCTTACCAGGGCAGAGAACTAAAACTCAGGAAGTGAGGTTACTTGTTCAATGTCACTAGTAAGGGGGGCGACATGAGCTTGGACCCAGCTCTTTGACTACTGATTCCACGTTTCCATTATACCTTCTCTATCTAGAATGGTTGCCCGCTGAATAGTGCTGGAGGCCCCTTGCAACAATCTTTTTTCTCTTTAGAGATGACAGGAAGGCACTATTCTCTCTGACCTGGAACTTGCTATCACAGCAGACTGGAACCAACAATTGATGGATAACAAATCTGTTCCACGCCCAAAGGCAAGACTGTTCACTAGATTGCCCCTCTTTTCCTTGCCTCCATTTCCTTCATCTTTCCACACAGTCACATTATCTTTGCCCAAAGGGAAATACGGAGGAAGGAGAGCATTGTGCATGAAAGGGTCTGCTGATGTGGGTTGAACTGGAGTCACATCCAGTCTGTTCCATGATCCAGAGTTTGGATGGTCCAGCCTTGGTGAGGAAGGCTGTAGTCCTTCTTTTCCCTGGTGAAGCACAGTCCTCTCAAAGGAACCATCACTCATCAACACTCCTCTTTTGCTTTGAAACAAGCTTTCAAGTGGACAGTGGTGCATGGCAGCTTCTCAGGTCACCATGGAGCTAAAATTTCCTTGCGTAAGTGTCTGTCTGGCATCGGCATGGTTTAGGGTATGTGCTCTGTACTTATCACTATTACTGATAGAGGTGGAACCTCCTATGGCCTTAGTGAGGAAGTAAGCCGACTGGCGACAACCACTGATTTCCTTCCTGTCTTGTGTGGTGTTGGGATTGAAAGGGGTGTGAAAGTGATAGGAAGTCACATCTCTTATCCTGACTATAACTTAGATGCTTAAGATTTTTCAGCCCTCACTTTAATGTCTAGTGATCCTAATAACAATATCATAAAATTGGGGGGGGAGAGACCCATGACAATACTTATCAAACTTTCCTGCATAATAGAATCAGTTGGGATAGTTTTAAATATCCATGGCTCAAGCTATACCCCATACCAATTAAAGCAAAATCTCTGGAGGTCCAGTTATGTTTTCACATTGTCTAAGATGATTCCAGTATGTAGCCACATTTGAGAAACATTGAATCCTCTCATAGATTAAGCTTGCTTATTCTTGCACTTCATATGAATGAATAATGAAGTATGTTGTCTTTTTTCTCTGTTCTTTCATTCAGTGTTGAGGTTCCATCTTAGCTGGTCATGACAATAATTTGGCTTTATTTTTAAGCTAAGAAATACCCTGTTTTATGATTACAACACCATTGGATTATCCATTTTTCTCATGATGAACAGATTTTTATTATGCACAAATTAAGCATGAATAATTGTACACAAGTACACAAGTTATTTTATCTAGATATCCACTTAGGTACATATACCTAAGTTGAGAATTGCTTGGTCAATGAGTAGAAACTGACAAAGACTTTGCAAAGTAGCTGTGTCATTTTACACTTCCACCAAATGTAAGCTTGATCCAGTTTCTATACATTCCCACATGCTTAGTATTTTCAATCTTTTAAATTGTAGCCATTCTTATATCTGTAGTGGTTTCCAGTTTCGGTTTCCAAAAGTTGATTGGTCATTTGGATATCTTCTACTGTGAAGTGCACTTCAAATTTTCTGCTTATTAATATAATATAATGTTTGTAAATTTCTTTATGATTTGTATAAGTTCTTTGTATATTTTGGAGAAGTTTCCTGTCAAATATACATATTGCAAGTAATACACATGGTCTATGACTTGCCTTTTTCCCTTTTTTGGAGTACAATTGCTTTACAATGTTGCGTTAGTTTCTGCCATACAGTGAAGTGAAGCCACTATATATGTCTCCTCTCCCTCTTGGACCCCCCTTCTACCCCATCCCCATCCCGCCCATCAAGGTCTTCACGGACCACAGAGCTGAGCCACCTGTGGTATACAGCAGGTTCCCACTAACTCTCTATCTTACACATGAGAGTGTACATATATATATAGTAAAGTATGTTAAGCTTAAAGAGTTAATATTTCATGAAACCCATTTTATTCAGTTTCAATCTATGATGAGTGATGGCATTATGTGTAAGAAATTTTTGTCTTTACCTTAGTCAAAAAGAATTTCCATTATCCTTTTAAAAGAACTGTAATTTTTAAGTAATGTTTCTGATTAACTTTGTACGGAGAAAGGTGGTTTTTAATGTGAAATTATCTCTAAATGAACAGTCATTTGTTCTAGCATATGTTGCAGAAAAATTACTCATTACTGCACTACACATATTGGTGACTTTATTGGAAAAGACAAATAATTGGATATGTGTAAACTTTTTACTCTCTACACTTTCACACTCATATATTTGTGTTTTGTCTACTTACACTAGTGCTACATAGTATCTTAACTGTTGTTCTTCAGTCACTAAATTGTGTCAGACTCTTTGAAACCCCATGGACTGCAGTGTGACAGGCTTCCTTATCCTATCTTCTGGAGTCTACTCGAACTCATGTCCATAGAGTTGGTGATGCTATCCAACCATCTCATCCTTTGTCAGCCTCTTCTCCTCCTACCCTCAATCTTTCCCAGCATCAAGGTCTTTTACAATGAGTCAGCTCTTTGAAACAGGTGGCCAAATTATTGGAGCTTCAGCATCAGTCCTTCCAATGAATATTCAGGGTTGATTTCCTTTAGGATTGACTGGTTTGATTTCCTTGCTGTCCACGAGATTCTCAAGAGTCTCTTCTAGCACCACAGTTCAAAGCAGAACCCCATGGAAAGTATGAAAAGAGCACCCTATTATCTCAATGTAAACTAGGAATTTGCTTTCCCCCTTTTTTTACTTTAGTTATTTGCTCCAAAATTAGGGATAAAACACCAAGTTCTACAATTCTGAGAATAAGATCGATATATAAATTATTTTTGACACGAAAAATCTTGAAATCTGGAAAGTATGTAACTTATGAGAGAGGAAACCATTAATCACTAAGCATTATGACAGCCATTAACCTATAAGACAAATCAAACTTGCCTCCTTATCTCTCCAGCTGGCCAAGAAACAGTCAGTAGCTACTTATAGAAGCAGTTTTCTCTGGAGACGGTGGCAGTGCTGACTGCTTTGAGCCAACATGGAGCCCAAGTGCTAGCTGTATCCTGAGAGGCTCAAATCTGGGTGAGAACCAGGATTTGGGGGCCAGAAGAGACATATATCTGTTGGAAAAAAGAGAATAGAGACAGATCACCCATGACATCATGGTAGCCAGCACTGACCATCTCCTCCGATGAACCCACCACCACTACGCCTCGCATGATTTTGTTGTTACTAGATGGAAACTACATGAAATTGAGGATAATATTTCATTCATCTCTGTGTGCATGACTCCGAGCATTGAGTCAAGCACTGAGGAAGCTCTCAGCAACATTTGTTCACTAACTGTATAAACATGGTTACAAGACTCCATTCAGCTCACCTACGCTCCTGTACAACTGTGTGCTCAGGGATGCTCTTTTTCCCAGGAAGCAGCAATCCGCTTCCTTAGAGAGGAGCCTGCCTACCCTATCCTTGCCCTAGGACACTCACCTGAGCTGACTCTGATGGAGGACATGACTGTCCTCAGGGATTCCTCTAGCAGGTTCACACTGTCATTAGGAAGAGATGTCCTTGGTGTATCCTCTCATCCTCTGGCAGCCAGGATATCCCACCTGAGGAGAGCTACCACATTTACTTGTCACTATGCACTTGTAATAATTCTCTCGTTGTTTAAATTCCTCATGGGTATATTACTGATATCTGAACTCGAAGTTTTTAACAGCATAAGGCAAATTAAGCAATATATAGTTAAGAGATGTTATGTGTAAAGCCTCCAAAGTGTAAATGCAGAAGAATATTATTACCATCTCTACTTCAGAAACAGGGTCCCATTAATCTGGCCCCTGGTATGAATTCATCTCTCTAATTCTTCTCCAAACACCATTTATCCACCTTATTGCACACTTATTTGGAGGACATCCACTGTGTGGCCACTTCCAAGTTGGAGGCTGGGGATGGAGGGCAGAGCCTCACGATTCCATTGTCCCCCTACCATTGTGCTCCCAGCAGCATAAACCAACACTGATTCATCGTGTGGATCTCCTCGGCAGGTGCACAAGTTCACTGGGGACTAAGTTACTCTCCTGGTCCTTCCTGCTCAGCTCAGGCTGCTCCTTGAGGACTTGGATGATACTGTGCACTCCTCATTTCCTCTTGAATTTTCTAAGCTCAACTTGTCCTTATCCTCACCTCCCTTGGCAAACAGCTCCTCGACCATTACCTTGTTTCTATTCGGGGTTTCTCATCCTCCAAAACCATTGATTTCCTTTCTTCCATTTCCTCTCTGAGTTGTGTTTTCAGTGTGTGGACTCAGCTGAGGCTCCTGCAGGAGACACACAGAGAAGGGACGAAGGTCAGGTCTTGGCTGCAAGTTCCAACACACATTTAACAGGCATCTCAGTTTCTCATGCACTCAGAAAAAAAACTCAGCAGGAAGGGAATTTGGAAAATTTGAATAACCGTATCTTACTGATGAGGAAACTGAGGCCTAAATAGCTGGAGAGTATCCCTAAATTCTCACATCTTTGGCTGCTATACAGCCACCAGGCAAACCTTGGCCACAAGCTTTTCTGTCTAAAAACACCAGGAACCCATGGTTGAATTTCAGGGGACATTCAATTAAACATACATATTTCCACTCTTGAAACAATAATAGTTGAAGGACATTTCTCAAAAAAAAAATATAGTCCATATTTATACACTGTTTTCCATCTTGACTGTTACAATGGGACTGAGGAAGGCATGACTATTAAAAACATCACAGTCATTATTAAAAATATATGTGGGGGGCTTCCCTGATGGCTCAGTGGTATAGAATCCACCTGCAATGNGCTTTTAAAGAGCAAGATTAAATGTTTTGTGGATTTGGTCCTTGAAATGATATTGAAATACATTTTTGTTATTTTCTAAGGTGGCTTTTTCTCAAGCATTTTTTCCAGTCTGTTTGGAACTCGGGAAATGAGGATTTTAATTTTGGGATTAGATGGAGCAGGAAAAACTACAATTTTGTACAGATTACAGGTTGGAGAAGTTGTGACTACTATTCCTACCATTGGATTTAACGTTGAGACAGTAACATACAAGAACCTTAAGTTCCAGGTCTGGGATTTGGGAGGACAGACGAGCATCAGGCCATACTGGAGATGTTATTATTCAAACACAGATGCACTCATTTATGTAGTAGACAGTTGTGACCGAGACCGAATTGGCATTTCCAAATCAGAGTTAGTTGCTATGTTGGAGGAAGAAGAGCTGAGAAAAGCGATGTTAGTGGTGTTTGCAAATAAATAGGACATGGAAGAGGCAATGACTCCCTCAGAAATGGCAAATTCACTTGGGTTACCTGCCTTGAAGGACCGAAAATGGCAAATATTCAAAACTTCAGCAACCAAAGGCACTGGCCTTGATGAGGCAATGGAATGGTTAGTTGAAACATTAAAGAGCAGACAGTAATTCAGTCACTTTTGCTCCTCTGAAACGAAGACCACATCACATATCCCTTTGGAAACAGTTAAGTGTGCTCCACACTACTAAATTTTAAAGCTGTCTGATTGTCAGCATATACCGAACTGACTGGAACATTTATAATACATAGTAAAACTAAGTATTTGGTTGGAAGGGTAACTCATCGTGATTGAACCAACTGAATGTCTGTCCTATATAATGTAAAATAATCCTTCCTTGTTATCTTGTGTTAAGGTATATATTCTATTTGTATGCAGTTCTTCTTCAGATACAGTCCTATTAAAGAATGTTCTCTTAATGAGGAAAAAGCCCTCCAGGTTTAAAAGAAAAAAGAAAAAAAGGAGTAGACTCAAATCAATAAAATTAGAAATGAAAATGGAGAAATTACAACAGACAACACAGAAATACAAATGATCCTAAAAGACTATGTTGAGAAACTATAAGTCAATAAAATGGACAACTTGGAAGAAATGGACAAAGTCCTAGAAAAGTATAACTTTCCAAAAATGAACCAAGAAGAAGTAGAAAATTTTTCAGCAATCATAAGCCCTGAAATCCAATCTGCAATCAAAAATCCTCCAACAAACAAAAGCTCAGGGCAAGATGGCTTCACAAGTGAATTCTACAAAATAGAGAAGACCTAACACTTACCCTACTCAAACTCTTGCAGAAAATTCCAGAGGAAAGGAAACCCAAGTTCACTCTACAAGGCCACCATCACCCTGATATCAAAAATAGACAAANATCTGACCTCAGAGAGTAACTCTCCTCACTGCAGATCTAACCAGATCTGGTCCCCAGAATCCTCTGATTTCTCATTCATGCTAAAGCTGCTCATTTGCTGCCTACTGACTTCTGTGCCCTGGTTCTATGATTGGCATGTGGTGGAGCCAGGTCTGCAAGGCCTCCCACAGCCGCTCACCAAGGTGGCCTTCCTGGCCACACTGCTCCTTCCCTCCCCCAGGCTGCTAACACTGGGAGGCGGGCCTTTCCAAACACCCTTGACCTGTCCACACTGCAGCAGGAGCAGCTATTTAGGGAATACAGCCTCCTGAACAGCTCACCCAGGGCACATGAAATGCATGCAAAGAACCCATGCAGAGGAGCCACAGGAAAGCCAGATGTTCGGCCCAGCAGACTTCGTCCCACCAGGACGTGAGTCCTCAGAGTTTTCTGCTGGGTTGGGACAGTGTCTTTGGAGACAGACAATGAGCAAACAGAGATCCTCTGTTTCCCAAATGTGTAACTTACCAGCTTGCACTTCTCAGGAGAGGATCCACTTCTAACTTCTACAACCCGGGCCCAGAGTCCACACCTCAGCTCTCCAATGAGAGCAAAGTCCTTAGGGAAGAAAACCAGAGGCTTCAGCCTCAACCCAGTCACATTTTCAGGGGCAGGAGGGCATTTCCAGATCCCTGGCCACACCAATCACCAATTAGAGAAGCAAAGAGCGAAGGTGGAGAGAACAGAGCTACTTAGACACACCAACTCGAACTCTCATAGCTTTTCTCACTCTAGAAAGGGCTACTCCTGACGATCCCCAACCATGGGCCCTCAGACTCCTAGGCTCCAGAGAGGAGGAGCTTTAGGAAACCCACCACTTCTGTGCAACCCACTTGCAGATACTCAGTCATTAGCTATCAAACTGGACACCAGTCAGTGCCTGTCCTACCTCCCCATAACTCACAGCTAGTTTCAATCCAGGAAAGGGAAGAACACAAGGCCTACACACCTTCTCAGTTTTCTCCGACACTCGCTGAAGCTCCCCGTGTCCCTCTCATGCCAAAGTGCTGGCCCCATGTCTCCTCACTCACCTCCTCCCTACTTGTACACTGGGGCCTACCATGCAGGCCTGCAAGACTTGTAATTCCCCAGCTGCAACACCGAAGAAAAACAGCGCATAGACAGTGACAGAGACAACAACCGTTCAGTGGCTATAGAATCTTACAATTCCTAAACAAAGGGTCCTGGAGTGACACGCCACAGTATTCAGCAAACAGCAGGCAGAATAAGGCAAGGATCTTCACTACTGGGGGGGTTGGGGGGATAGAACTGAGGGGAGACTACAATTTATAGGGACCGTTCATGTCTGATTGGCTTACCCATCACCAGGGAAACCAGAGGCTGGGGTCGGGGAAACCACATAGTTGGTTATTGAGTAAGCCCTATAATTAAGGGGCTCAAAATTGGGAAAGGAGTACGTCAAGCCTGTATATTGTCACCCTGCTTATTTAACTTGTATGCAAAGTACATCATGAGAAACGCTGGGCTGGGAGAACACAAGCTGGAATCAAAATTGTCGGGAGAAATATCAGTAACCTCAGATATGCAGATGACACCACCCTTATGGCAGAAAGCGAAGAACTAAAGAGCCTTTTGATGAAAGGGAAAGAAGAGAGTGGGAAAGTTGGCTTAAAACTCAATATTCAAAAAACTAAGATCATGGCATCTGGTCACTTCACTTCATGGCAAATAGATGGGGAAACAATGGAAACACTGACAGACTTTATTTCTGGGTTCCAAAATCACTGCAGATGGTGACTGCAGTCATGAAATTAAAAGACACTTGCTCCTAGGAAGAAAAGTTATGACCAACCTAGACAACATATTAAAAAGCAGAGACATTAGTTTGCCAACAAGGTCCAATTGTCAAAGCAATGGTTTTTCCAGTAGACATGTATGGATGTGAGAGTTNGGGGGTGGTGTGGAATTGGGGGGAGACTACAATTTATAGGGACCATTGATGTCTGACTGGCTCACCAGTCACCAGGGAAACCAGAGACTGGGGACAGGGTCAACTGTGTAGGTGGTTACTGATTAAGCTCTATAATTAAGGGGATTGGGTAGTCATATGGGTGAAGGATTGGTTGGTGAAGGAGAAAGAACAGATAGCAAGAAAACAGTCATTTTGAATGACCTGACCATATAATTGTGTCTGGAGGTGCCAGCAAAATTTCCTCCAGAGCTTTCTCAACACTGTTCAATGGGCATCCACAGCTGGCCCTCAGTTCCTGTGTGGGTGGAGTGGGGTTGAGGAGCCAACCTAACTGTTGATTGATTAAATCAATATATTAACACCCACAATTTTTATTTACAAATATTTACTGAATAANAAAGGAATAAGTCCGGAATGAAAGAATGCTTATGGAAAAAATGGAATATCAAAGAGATATTTCTAAATTAGCCTCCTCAAGCAAGAGATATGAAAGGAAAGGTCACTGCTTGGGAAGATGACAAAACCCATAGAAAAGGGAACAGGCAGAACTACTAAACTACCAGGGCCTCCCTGGTGGATCAGCGGTAAAGATCCAGGAAAGGGAGGAACATGAGGCCTATACACCTTCTCAGATTTCTGCCAATGCAGGGTAGGAGGCACAGGTTCAATACCTGGGTTGGGAAGATCCCCTGGATGAAGAAATAGCAAACCAATCCCATATTCTTGCCTGGAGAGTCCCATGGACAAAGGAGCCTGGTGGGCTACAATCCATGGGGTCAAAAAGAGTCAGACACGAACACGCACCTATGCAGCCTTACATAAACAAAGCCAGGAGGGTACAATGTGGTCCTTCCCTTGGCACTTGCCTTAATAAAGAAGGTGGCACCAAGATTTTAAGTTGTCTGGGATCTTGTGAACCAGATGTCCTCCATCCATGTCCAGAGTTCCTGACTTTTGGTCACATATCCCCGGGGTTGGCCTTAAGGCCTGTGCTGCCTTGGTTGACTGTGGAGGTGCAGCCGTCTTACTCTGTCCCCTCCAAACAAGAATCTAACCAGAAAGAAATGTATTTGTGCTTCTTGGGCTGGCTGGTGGAAAATATTCCCTCATCTTCCTCTTAGACTGCTCAGCCCTCTCCTTTGCTGGCCTGTTTGTGTGGGAGTGGGAGGGTGGGTATGGTAGTGGGAGTGATCCAAGAGGCGCAGGAAGAGGGAGGAGGAGTGGGAACAATAAACACTGGTGAATGCTAGTGAGGACAGGGAGGAGAAAGGGAAACAGAGGCAGGAGGAGGAGGAGGATGAGCAGAGCTTGAATGCCAAGGTGCTCTAGTTTCTGGCCCCAGAATGGCAGCTGCCCTCTCTTGAACTTCCCTTGAATTTATCCTGGACACACACAACGGGCATGCACACACACACACACACACACACACACCCCAGTTCCTCTCACATCCTCCAATCTCCTTTATTCACAGAAGAGCAGCCTCTCAGTGCCCGCCCCCTCCCATGCCCAGATTCTGGGAGTTCTTTCATTGTTCCCTGAGCCTCCCCAGAATTAGTCAGAGATTCTTCACCAGCACCCAAGCCCTTGTCTATGGTTGTGGAGAATCCAAAGCATAGCAATCATCCAGGAGAAGAG